CGATTACTCTATAGAATTATTGAGACAGATAACATCAGGTTTTACAGATACTGCTGATATAACTGAAAAAAAGCCCTTCATTACATATCAACAAAAAGTCAAAAACGGACAAACAATGACAACTAAGCTTGACTACATATTCATCGATGAAGATTACGCTCATTTATGTCATAGGACTGAAACTCGTTATGGAAATTCAGACCACTTGTTGGTCGAATGTACACTTACTCATCTCTCACTTCACCTGTCACTACTAGTAAGGAAACTGAATCCATGCTTATTAAAGATACCTAGAATGAAGGAGGAAATAATTGAAGAATTGCTGAATGTAAAATGCAAAGAGGATTGGGATCTCTTCAAAACGCGAATTCAATCAATATTTAGAGCCTACAAACCCCCACCAAAACCAGAATCAAGGCTTCAGAAGCTAAACAAGAGTATCACAAAAATAATGAATAGACTAGCACAGGACTCTTCGCTTTCAGATCTTAATTTAGTTCTGGAACAATTAAGCACAGAAAGGAATGAGAAACTATTAAACCTAGCGAACACTTGGCAAATAAGATCGAAGGCCAGATGAGTAGAAGATGATGAAAAATCAACTAAATACTTCTACGAATGATTTAAATCAAAATATGACATATCAGCAATGAAAAGAATTAAAGATCCTAATGAGCCAGAGAAAAAAGAGCCTATAGACATTTTAGACTATATTAAAAGAAGTTATAAGAACAAGTTTAGAAAAGAACCTATAGACAAGGAGGCAGTATATGCAATGACAGAGGACCTTCCAGAGGTCTCACAAGACCAAAACGCAGTATTAATCAAGGAGATCACTACAGAAGAAATTGAAGCAACTATAAGAAAGCTACCAAATAACAAATCCCCAGGTACTGATAGAATAACCTATAAGTTTTTCAAAACTTACATAAACGAGGTTATATCAATTTTGCATAAAATCTTTAATGAAGTTCTCTACTCTGGCTTTCTCCCGAGAACTTGGTGCAAAAGTATCTTAACTCTAATCCTGAAGAAAGACAACAAATTAGAAGAGCTTACAAGTTGGAGACCCATCTCTCTTGTAAACTGCGACACCAAAATATTCATAAAAATTATCGCAGAGAGACTTAATGATGTTTGTAAGACAATAGTAGGGCCCCAACAACAAGGTTTTATAAAAGGAAGGTATATTTTGGATATAGAAATGAACACAATCTCAGTAATGAGAAACCAGTTTGATCAATTACAAAGTAACTGGATGGTGTTTATGGACCAAGAAAAGGCATTTGATAGGATGAGTCACGAATTTTTAGAATCAGTCCTAAGAAAAATGAAATTCAGCCAAGAGTTTATAAGATTAATCAAATGTCTCTTCTCAGAACAAACAGCATATATAATGGATAAAGAACTTCTGTCAACACCAATTAGAATAGAAAGAGGAGTAAGACAGGGTGACCCGCTTTCACCTCTCTTATATATACTTTTCTTGGAACCTTTCATAAGAGCTCTGGAGAAAAGACTATATGGTATCTGGCT